TACTTTTATTGCTTAAAAGTCTTTGTTAAAATTTATTATAAAAAGAAGAAATTTTTAATTTTTTTAAATAAAGTTGAAATAAAATGACTCTTTATTTCAATTTTATTTTGGACCTCACCAACCACAATTTCTACGCCTAATAAATTTTTTATCAAAAACTTTTCTTTTTATGAATAAACAACTTTCTCAGGTTTAAAATTTTACGATCCCTATTGATAAAAGAAGTTTATACTAACCGCAAACTTCAATATTTAGCGGTGATCAAAGGATTAACTTTGTAAAAAAAATTTTTGTCACGATTTTAGTCACGATTTTTAGCCGTTTTATTTTGCCACCTCCAGGGTTGATTAATTTTAGATGACTTGTGTTAAAGATTATAAGTTCTAACTACGTGTACACACGCACATCTAAAGTATTGTTTTGAAACTAAAGTAAGAGTGTCCACTTGTCCTATTAATCTATGGAAACAGAAAATTACCTAAAAGTAATCACTTGAGTATGCATTTCCCGTAGTTATACGGACAAGAAACTTAAAATAAGTCATAGATATTATGATAAATTAAAAAGTACAGAGTTAATGTAGCTAAATAGCAAATACCTTAAATAAAAAAGAGATTTAACAAATAGATTTTGATTAAAATAGTTGAGGCTATTTTTTTCATCGTAAAGTTCAGGATAAAAAAGCAATATATAAGTGTTTGCTATAAGTTTAGTCAAAAGATTAATATCATTAAAGAAAAAATCCTCATGGTATTATAAAGTATAAGTTTTGTTGCTAATATTATTAAGTCTAAAAAAATAAAAACTGGGATTGACAAGATAATATGGTGTAAGCCATATATGTAAGGCTTACGCCATATATGTAAGGCTTACACCATATATGTAAGGCTTACACCATATATGTAAGGCTTACACCATATATGTAAGGCTTACACCATATTATCTTGTCAATTCCAGTTTTTACATTTTAAAACTTAATAATATTAGCAACAAAACATATACTTTATAATACCATGGGCGTATTTACTTAAAAGATCTACACTGTCAGGAGCTTCTTAAAGCTTTTTCCTAAAGCCTAAAAGATCATTTAATAAAATTTGAAGAAGAATTTGCAGAAACAACTCTGAAGCTTAATTTTTTTACGATCAAAGTGATACCTCATTGGAATGCATAACCAAAAAAACTGATATTGAAATACTGAAGAAAAACTCATACTGTAATACTGAAAACAGAAGATCTGAAAAACTACAAAGCTAGACTGTATAAAAATTTGTTAACGACTGTTTAAGTATAAACTCTATGCTCGCGCGACGATAGTTGTTACATCAGTTTGTATTAATATTACTATATAACAAAAAAACAAAAAAAAAATTATTGTATTTATAAAATTTATTACATTTTTCTTTTATTTTAAATTTATTTTATTTATAACTTAAAATAAAAATAGTTCTTTTAAATATTATTTTAAAATTATATAGATTAATTTATATTTTTATAAATATATTTAATCGTCTTAAAAATATGACCTGATCTGGTAGTAGAAAAAAAGTCTAAACCTTTATTAGTTACATAATAAAACTTGTTTTAAAAATTAGGTATGCATTCATTTATTAAATACAATTAAAGTTTATTATAAAATAAGAAAAAAAAACTTGAATAAAACAATTTGTTTTTTTATTTATAAATTACAAATTATTTAAAACTAAAGTTGTTTAAAAAAAAATTACCTTTGACTGATAACTGTTTTATGACATAAATTTTGGATGATTTGATTATAAATTATAAATTTTACGAAATTGATACTTTTAGCGGTTATTAAGTTTTTTTCTTTGTAACTAGTTCCAGGCCTTAAATTCAATTCTTAAAATTAAATGCTATTAATTTCTGGTAAATATTTAAAACAGATAAATAAGAAAAAGATATAAGGAACCCAAATGATGTACTAAAAATTGAATTATTTACAAATATATTTAGCATGACTCTAACGCTTTTTAAAAATTGAGATAGTGGTCATTACGTCATAATATAATATAAAGTCTTAAAAGAATTTCCCCGTATAAAAGACAAACAGTTTTGCTTTGCAGTTTTAGTTTAGAAAAAACTAGCAGCTAAAACATTCAGATATATCAAGAAAAATTTTTGCAATGACTCTCTCCAATCTTTCAGCAACCAATTTTTTAAAGGTTAAAAAACTTTAAATTGTTTTACCATTTTGTAAATGTTAATTATATTTTAGTCACTTTTGGTAATTCAATTTATTATAATAAATTTGATAATTTGCAGTTATTTAATTGTGTATGCTATTTTCTAGCTTTGGTATGTTTATGATAAAGATCGAAGTTCTTATTTAGAAAAAAACGAAATTAGGGTAATTTTTTACATATTTTGCTATAATAATGTAAATAGGTGATAACTTAAGGAGTGTTGTTAATAATGGCAGATGATTGTGCAAAGAGCAAAGAGATTAAATAAAAACAAAATTTTCTTAATTATAAATTTTTACGTTTCATTTTCAAGTAAATTATTAACTCTAGGTATTGGTGAAAGATCTTGTGGAGAAATCTGGATGTGATGCTCAGTCAGTTGAAGAACACGAAGCAAAAATGGTTTACAAGTTTATAATATAACGTTCATAATATAAAATAAATTTTAGACTATTTTACATATTTTACGTAGTGAATATATATTTTATGCTGTAGGTTGGGATATTTTTGTTTTTGTTATTTTATTATTTTATCTAGTTAGTTGTTGTTTATTAAATTGCTAAAAATTAATTTTAATTTAATTTTAAAAATTTATAAATAAACTTATAATCTATTGGCTCTTCTTAAAAAAAAAAAATAATAATTTTTATCTCTTGTCATTTATTGGTAAAAGTAATACATTACGCCTCTATTTACGAAGATGCCATTGATTAACAACCAGTATTACATTTACGTCATTTAAAACTTGCTCGAGCTTGGCAACAAGCCCCATAACTTTATAAAACTTTGATATCAAATTTTATGTTAAATTTTTTTTTGTCAAGTTAATTTTAGTTTTCTTATTTGCTTTTTTTTTTTTTTTTAGATTGAGGAGTACGATACGAATAGAGATGGGAAAATTCATATTAGTGAACTGTCAAAGTAACCAGTTATATAATATAAAAATTTAGTATAAATGAAAGCTGTAGCCATCTTTTTTTAGTGTTTGAGAAAAAGTGCTGAAATTAGAACCTAGAAATTAAATAAGTTTTAAAATATCAGTTCAGGGCATTAAATAATAAAATGTACGTTTCCTATTTTTGTCTTTATCATCAGATTTTAGTTTTTAGGATTTTGTTTCTACTAAATTCTATTAACCACATTTTTTTTGCAAAACATACTTATTTGACGTAAACATAAATCAAGGCAGTATTTAATCAGAAAAAGACGTTTTCTTGACAAAAAACGTGTTATAAACGCTTAAAAGTTAAGAGTTAACTTTATGATTAAAAGTTCCTTCAAACACCTAAATAATTTGGCTATCATGCTGTACCACTTGTTTTGTTAACTTTTTGACCTGCACAATTTTTTTTTTCAATAAGGAATTTTAAATAAGGATTTTTCACAAATACTATATAGGTACGACAAATGAGATAAAAAAAATTGAATAAAACTCGTAAGAAAATAAAATTTGAAAAAATAGTGTTTCTTTTAAAAAATTTAAATTTATTCTACCGTTTTTCCTTTACACATTCTTTATTTTCATTATACTTTCTTGTTTCAGAGTTATTGGCCAAGATGCAGATTTCATTACAAGTTTTCAGGTAACAGAGTTATAATCAAAACAGCTTAAAAATTAATGTTTTATTTTTAATTTTTTCTAATCGTGAAAAACATTATTTAGAGCTTGAGCGTAGATGACTTTGAGCGAGTCTTTCAACTTAGTGACGAGGTTTGTAGCTTAAATTCAAAAAAAGGTTTTTTAAGAATATAATATATAACATAATTATAACAAAGCTAAAAAAATTGTTACGAAAGACGAAGAATGGATAACATAACACTAAGCATAAACTATAATTATTAAATTATTACGAAAGATGAAGAATGGATAACATAACACTGAGCATAAATTAAAATTATTAAATTATTGATTTATTATAACATATTGTTTTTTAGGATGGAAATGGAACTCTTGAGAATGATGAAATTCCCCAGTTTTTGAAAAACTTATTCCCAGAGGTAAACTATTTTTAGTTAATTGTTTATACATATTTACATAGGGTTGGCAGATATCGGGCTTTTACGAAGAAAAAAATAGTAAAAATCTTATTTTTTTAGGTTGGTACTGTATTCTCCAACGTAAAAGCCAGACATCTGACAACCCTATATTTACATAATAACTTTCAATAAATTTAAAGAAAACTTTTATCAAGTTACCAAGAATTTTAAGATGTCATTGGCATAATCGTGTTTGTAATATTAATACTTTATACATGCTTAGTTAAAGCTAAAAGTTAACTTCTTAAACAGTTATGCGTGAAAAGTTTTTTTTGCTGTATATTGCTCATTATTTGGATTACATAACTTAAGCAGTGTTTGCTTAAATAAAATTTTGTTTTAATTTAAGCCGAACCAAAATCAAATTGATTTAATCCCGGTATCTCGAACCTCCATAGAACCAAAGAAAATGTTTGACTTGGAAAAATAACATCGCACATAAAAAACTTATCGTTGTACCGCTGTGTGTGACGCATGTCAACCTAATCCATGAATTACATCTTTTGTTGTTATTCTTATTGGAATAGCAATGTCATAAACCTTCAGTTCTTTAACATGATTATAGGCGCAGAGGTAGCGTGCTGGTCCTATAATCCAGAGGTTGATAGATCGTAACTATCCTCTGCTACATAAATTTTGAGCAAAAATTAGATTGCCTCAGAAAGTAGAGATCTGTGGTTCAACGTCACCTCTGGGCAAGTTTACTAACATTGTTAAGGAAAGAGGTGAAAACTTTCTTACTCAAATGCTCTTCCGCAGTGCTTAGTGATAAAACCATAAAAACATTTTTTGAGGCACCTAAAATAATATATTCAAAAAAAAAAAAAAATTATAGGCATTTAGTGGTTTGCTTTTTTTATGAAATTCCAGTTTTAGCAAAACAATTGCTAATAGTTTTGTTTTTTTCTGTTTTCCAATTTTTCCCACAATTTTTTGTCCTTCCTTCGTAAATTTTATCAATTTTGAAAATCCATTAAACAAAGAGTATGCAATCTATCCAAGACTTCTAATAGGCGACAAAAGAGCTTAAATTGTTTGAATCCTGTTGCCAATTTAACGTTATTAATAATAAACATAACCATGTTTTATTTAACTGTATTTGCTAATGCTAATGCTGGCACACGTAAAATTCTCCACCGACACAACTTTTACTTTTTAAAACCTGGTTAAGTTTATATTTTTACAAAATAGTTAATATAGTGGTTTTTTCCATTGCTGTATTACTTGGCTTTATTAGAAACTATTTTGGATCACATGTTACAACATTTCTTAAAAACGGTCTAAAGCATAAAAAAAAGTAAATTACTCCGCAAACTCCATTGATTATGTTATGAATAATCAGAGACATCTTAGCAACAAATCATCTTTGCAACAAACTATTGGAAACCGTTTGAAATTTGATCTTTTTTTCTCAAACTCTGACGTTTTGGATTGTTCCTCTTATCACCTAGCATAAGCAGGTGAAAATATTCTTTGGTACTCCATACTTTAAAGAACTTTGATTTGGGAAGAAAATTTTTTATTACATCATTCAGTGTCTTTAAAAATTTTCATATTCAAACTACTTTGCTTTAAATTATTATCATAATGCAAACTTTAAATTAAAAATATTCAACAACTTTTTTAATTTTTTTTTTTTCATGTCATTTTTTTATTGGCAGCAAACTTTATAATTAACAAGATTTTAAGATAAAGTTCTTAAGATAAGAAGATTTTAAGGAACACAAAAACAAAGATTTTAAGGAATACAAAAAGTTAGAGATGAAAGAAAGTTTACTGACGTTTGAGATTTCGCGTCACGGTAAGGAAGGAGGCGTGAACTTCCTGGTTAAATGCACTACGCAGTGCCCTGTGTGAAGACAGTTAGGTCTTCTTGAGACACCTAAATAAATAAATAAAAAAAAAAAAAAAAAAGATGCTGAGATTAATATATTTTAAATAAATAAATATTTATTTACAGCGTTTGACTCAGTTTCGTATAGCAAATAATTTATGGGTCTTTATTATTTGCATATTCAATAAAATTTTAATAAAATTATATAATAAATAGAAATATGATAAATAAAAAAACAACAACAAGTTATTATGTTTTAATACGCGAATAACTGTAAAGTTATTCTTTATCTTCTATCAGTAACCAAACATATGTATTTATTTAAATAAAATTTTCATTTTTGCAAAAAATTTTTATTTTTATTTTTACTTCTTTTTTTAGGGATCCTCCGACCAAATCGAGACTTATAAAAATATTTTAGAAGCTCTCTGCGAGAGTCAAGAAGGAAAGCTGACAAAAAATGATCTTAAAATCTTGTTTCATTAAAAGTTATTTATTATTGTTTAAACCATGATAGCTATCATTTTCATTATTTGCATCTATTTATAATGTAAGTTATTAGAATACGAAATATATATACATAGAGAGAAGTTGTAACAATATCAAACAGTAATTATTAAAACAAGCTAAAACATGTTCAGTTTTTTTGAATTGCAGTAAATACACATATACACGCATTTATTTTGTTGTTTTTAGATAGCGTTTAGCTTTATATTCATAAATATAAATACGGAGACGAATCTAAACCCCGTCAAGTGCTGCAACTGACAGTGTGAAATAATAAATACAAATATTGACATTTTGGCTTTTACTACCTGCCTAATATTAGACTACCAATCTTTTTACTTTTGTTAAAAAACGTTTTGAAAAAAATTTACAGTGAAAAATATGCTTTGCAGAGGATGAAAAAATTAGTTTATAAAACTTCCTAATGTAAATCATACTTTGCAAAGAATGAGAAAATTTAAAAAGTTAATTGGTTTCTTTCTACTATAAGAAGTAATTTTATTTAAAAAAAAAAACAAAAAAAAAACTCTGAAGTGCAAACTATATTTTGCAGCATCTGCGGCAGTTATATGATTGGTTCTAAATATACGCCGTTGTTCAGGGTTTATTTAAAGTATTCTCAAAAAAGTAGCTTTTAATCATAATAAGTCGAGTACAACATAAAGCGCTTTTAGAATCAACATCAAGGCTTTAAATTTGAATGAAAATGTTCTAAAAAGATTTGAAATTGTTTTGTTTAGTCAAAACATAACAGCAATGTCTTTTTTCGAAACAAAAGTAGCTTAATCTTTGTTTCTTTTTTTTTCTTATAAATTTTCTATGTTTACTGAAAACTGGCATAAAATAATTGAGTCAGGTTATATTCTTATTTCTTTCCTAACTTTTGCCTTACTTAACGATCGTATTAGTTAAAAATCTAAAAACAACCTTAAAACTAGTTAAAGTTTTGAATTGTGTTCGATGACAAGTAAAACTAAGATATGGGTTTTTCTCTCTACAATTGCAAAAATTGTTACTTTCTTAAACTAAAAAACTAAAAACCTGCGTTCGCCCCTAAAATATGTACATATTATATATTATATATCTTATGTCAGTAGTATATATATATATATATATATATATATATATATATATATATATATATATATATATATATATATATATATATATATATATATATATATATATATATATATATACATACATATATATATATATATATATATATATATATATATATATATATATATATATATATATATATATATATATATATATATATATATATATATATATATATATATATATATATATATATATATATTTTACCAACAGAAAACAGACAGTTGATTTAGATCTGCATTAAATGCCTTTTATTGTATATCTTTATTAAACGTTGACTAAACGTCAAGAAAATTGATTAACGTAAGTCAATATTGTAAACGCTTAATAAACGTATACATTGGTGCAATTCATGCATTCATTTTAAACCTACTAATTTATGTTTATTAAACCCCGAATTAATGTTGGCAATATTTACTAACATGAGTCAATATTATAAAAATTTAATAAACGTATACTTAAAAAGGGTAAAGAGTACATATCAGATCATTTATTATACCTTTATTAAATGTTACTTAAACCTTTTCAATATTGAGTAATAAAAGTCAATATTATAAACCCAATGACGTGTAAATATAACTAGATGCGTGAGTTAAAAAGTGAAGCCAGTCTCCGCCACCTTGCGGTACGGCAAAAATCTTAAATTCTGAAAGCGTTACATAGGAATATATGACTAATTTAAACTGGATATAAGTTTTCAAAGAGGTTTTAAATGTTAAATTTGTAAGAGCAACTACTTCTTTTTGAAAGATTGAAGAGTTATAGTTATTTCGTGCTGTGCATATGGGTGCACAAATCGCCAAAAACAAAATTAAGGCGTGTCATTTCACAGGTATGATGAAATACTTATAATAAGTATAAGTGTTTCATTATACCTGTGAAACGACACGCCATGTTAGTATTATACTGATACTAACTGTCGTTAGTATTAGCATAATATTATCAACAATACTAATAATACACTTATAATTAAAGTGCAATACTATTAATTGTATAAGATATTACAATAATTGTACACTTATAAGTAAAGTGTAATACTATTATTAATAATAATAATTGTTAGTATTATTAATAATTATTATTGCTAAACTATTATTAATAATAATAATTATTAGTATTAATATAATATTACACTTATAATTAAAGTGTAATACTAATTTTAATTGCATAAGATATTACAAGGCATATTGCTAATTGTATATTATTTATTATTTTATTTTACTTTGTGGATTGTGCATTCCTATTATGAAGTCAATATTTGTACGTGCATAAAAATAATGTTTACATTATAAAAATCTTATTTTGACGCAAAAAAATATTAAAATACTTGAATTTTTTTAGCTATATAAAATTCGCTTATTTCTGTGGATGTGAAAAATGTGGTTTTTTTGAGACGCGGCCGACAGGGTTGAAGGAACTAAATAAAATTACTAAGACTTTATGTCTTAGTAATTTTATTTATAAAATTACTAAGACTTTATGTCTTAGTAATTTTATTTAGTTTTAAATTTTAAGTAGTTTTTTGTTTTTTAAATATAATTGTGTTTATATATAGTTATTTTCATTATTAATTCTTATTTTAAAAAGTTTCATTGAATAAGTGCAAAATCCATACATAAATCGACTGATTTATATGTAGTCTAATCATTTTTATGATGACTTATATGTTGATCATTTTTATGAGGAATTACATGTTCAAATAATAAAAAAGGTTGCTGATAGATTTTTAACTATTAGATTCAAAACGTCAAAAATATTACCTCGAACTTATTCAAGGAATAAAAGCAGGTCTTCGACTTGGTTAAATAAGAGCCTTTTTGTTAAGAGGGTTTAAAAATTTACAGGTTTTTGATTCATGCCTACTTTTAATTGAATATTTTTAAATTTACCTTTTGTTACTATACTAATACTTCTACTGTTTTACTTTAGGTTTGCTAATGTTAAAATATGATTTTAATTTTGTAAATTTTTATGATTTGAAATTTGCTTTATTAATCATTATAGGTGCTTCAAGAACCTTAAACATTAACGGATCCGCAATATCATCAGTATTTCAAATATAAGTTATGTATGGTCTCAAATAAAATAAAATTATACAAAAGTTTGAAATATATTAGTCATTAATATATATATATATATATATATATATATATATATATATATATATATATATATATATATATATATATATATATATATATACATATATATATATATATATATATATATATATATATATATATATATATATATATATATAAAATATATATATATATAAATATATATATATATATATATATATATATATATATATATATATATATATATAAATATATATATATATATATATATATATATATATATATATATATATATATATATATATATATGTATGTATATATATATATATATAATATACTACTGATATAAGATATATAATATATAATATGTACATATTTTATATATATATATATATATATATATATATATATATATATATATATATATATATATATATATATATATATATATATATATATAAATTCAAAATATAGTAAAAATTAATTCTCTATACATTTCAAAGTTTAACGTAATAATAATCTAATTGCACATTCTAACACCCAGTGCAATATCTGTCTGCTTTTTTTAATGCTAACTTTCTAACACAACTATTTCTGGATTTTGATCTTATTTACGTCTATTCTTCCTCAAACTCACTTAATCTTGGTCTGTCCAATCAGGTTATAATGTTCTATAGTGAGCTGAACTTGTCTTCGCGTACATTGATTTGTAGCCTCTATATGGCAATTAACCGTAGGAAAATAAACCGGATCACTAGATGACTTATAAAAATAACAACTAATCTTTTCATTGAATTTGTATAAAATTTCCTGTTCGTTGTGTTTATGTTTGCTTTCTAATACGACTGCTTCTTACTTTTATCTTATATTACTTCTTTTCGAAATTCACTTACTTTTGGTCCGAGGAGCTGAACAAAGAAGCTCTAAAGAGAAGCTGAATCTGTCTTCTACGAACTTTAGTATGTGGCCTCCATAAGGTAAAGAGCCGAGAACAGGATAAACCACAATACCAACTACAATAAAATAAGTTAGACGTTAAGTAAGAAACAAACAGGTAGTAAATAAAACATTAATAATAGTATGACTGATTCAAAACGTTTAATATATGTTTAACAAGATCTAATACATGCCTAATATACATAACGCTTTCTATAAGTTTAAAAAGACTAAACCTATACGCTTTACATTAAATAACCTTATACGTCATAAATACGCCCAAATCTCGACGTTAAATGAAGATTTGTTCTAAAACCTGTTTTTCATACTAAATGGTTAATCGACGAAAATTAAACATTTTGTCTAAACGTTGTTTCGAGTTTTAATATAGTTTCATGTGTTTATTGGGTTACGAAAACCTAGTATAAAACTAAAATTATAAAAATTTAAAACAGAACTATTTTATTCTTTCCAAAAACTTTCTAAAAAACAACTTTTTTAAGGCGCCTCACAAAGTTACGGAATTGTTACGGGTTTCGGACCTTGAAAAATCTGTGGCACTAATGTCTCTTGTTTGTTGATTTGTTGTTATAAACTCAGTCAGTTCAATATTATGACATTTCTAGTCAGCAGGTTCAGTTAAAAAATACTTCAATGTTCGGAGCTAATTTTTTGCTAACAGCACTAATGGAATGTAAAGTCTCTTCTTTATTAATCGAAGAATCCGGATGATAGCTGCTACGTGGTTGGTAATCAGTTTCTGCTTGCGATTGTTTTTTTTGCAAAAACTGTTGTCAACTTTGGTATGGATGCAACAATATTTTGGTTTGAAATTCGCTTTAAATTGGCGTCTTTCTTTCTTTTGGCTCCAGACTTTCTCTTACCAGGCTGATCCATGGTAATGTAATCACTCGATCACATATGACTTTTTTATTCGGAAATTTCCGAAAACTTTTTCACATTAAGTTTTGTTTAAGATAAATTTTACTTAAGTTTTATTTAAGTTAGATTTTAACAATCATTTTTTTTTAAATTATTTGAAATAATCTTATTCTTCAAAAAATCAAGCCTAAATTTTATCACTGCTTTTCAAACGTTAGAAAAACCTGAATCTTATAGTTATTTTAATGTTGATAGAAACCTTTTATTACGCAAAATTTTCAAGATGCAATTAATATTAATTAGCAACAAAATTTACACACCTAAAACAAATGTTTGCTATCCCAATATCCAAATGTTTGGAGTAAACAATGCAGCATCGGAATTTTCTCCATACAAAAAATTACTTAAAAAAAAAAGGCTGGACATATGTAAAAGCGGGCCTGATAACAAGTATGTAAGTAGGAATAATTATGGAATTTTAATCCTACGAAGTTTAAAAGACTATAAAAATTATATTTATCCTCAGCGTGGTATTAATCATATATGAAATGACGTTGATAAATTACATCAACAAAACTGAAGATTTTAATTCTATCAAACTTTTTTTTTATTATGAAGATCTACAAAGCGGATTGAAAATGCTAAACAAACTATCATCTGATCAACTTAACATCATTCATTAATAAAAGAATCTCTTGCTGCAAATGCATTCCTTTGCATCATTAGGGAAAAGTTCTATTTTTCCCTAATGGTGTAGAGGAGTTGTGAAAAAAGCAAAAGGGCGTTTTTGAAAATTTTAAGGACGACTCTGAGGTTATTGTTTAACAATCTTTAGGCTTACGTCAAACAATCTTCAGTCTTTTAAAAAAACACACTTTTACTCTATTGTAGAGGATCAAATTCTACAATGATTTTAAAGATGTTTTATTTTAACAAGTGAAAAACTTCCCACAGCTGATACACTTGCAACAGAGCCATTTACAATTTAGACCATCTAAATTTAAGTTACTACACCTGACGGGACTGGCAAAATATTAGATGGAGCTCTTCTATATTTTAGTAGTTTACTTTAAAGAATAATCTGAAAGTTTATCTTCAATATTTTCACGAAAACCAAAGATTAATTTAAAATATTTTTTGGTTGTGGATTGCAAGGACAGAGATCATCAAAATTAACTTGCTTATTGAAGCAACATGTTGAAATACTGACGTTATATGTGTTCTGTGAATCACGTCCAGTCGTAAGAGTCCACTAGCGCTTATATTGAAAAATGACAACCTATAATAGCCTAAAATAAATCTTCACTCTAAAATATGGCAACCACTAACATGATTTACAGAGTTTGCGAATAAAAAAATTAAAAAAAAACATCAACTTTATTGGAAAAACTTATTGAACTGGAGCAGTATAATGATAAAATGATGGATCAATGAAAATACAATGAAAATAGTGCCAGAAAAATCTAGGGGAGAAATTATTTACTATATTTCTCATCAAGCAATAATCAAAGAAAATGCTGAACCAACTAGTTTATGATAGTTCAACACGAAAAGGTCAATTTTTTCGAAAATTGCTTCAACCCTAATGTTTGCCATTTTTATACAAAATCGGATGAATGAATTCTGTTTTTAGCTAATCTAAAAAAAGGATTTCTACAAATTCGAATTCACGAAATAGATAGAAACGCGCAACAATTAATTTAGTATAAGACTCATACCAAATATGCGACACATTCAATATAAACTATGTCGGGAAAGATATTAACTTCCTCTCCCCCCACTTAACCCGAAGAAAAAAATTTTCAACTTATTGTCGGTTTTTTCAGGAGTATGGTTGGTTAGTCGACATTTGACATATTTCAGTCGGCAAATTTTAAATTTAAGGAATTTTTTTTTTGAAAGAAGGCGGCAGTTTTTAACGCACCTCTCATTTTATGTGTAGAATAGTTAAAAGTTCATTGATAAAACACAAAAATTATGACCACATAAACTTTTTAACCGCTGAAATTGAGGGAGTTCAAACCCGAGTAACACTCATTAATATTTATTCTTATCGGTTTTTTTATATTTTCGACTATTTAAACATGAACTCTTATTTAAAGCATTGGAAAAATTAAAACAAAGAAGTTAACAAATTGTTGATCTTCAACAACTTTTAACTTTTTTGTTTTGAGTCCTTTCATCCATGCATTTCTCACTATCGAAGAGAGCACGCGGCTAAAAGAAGGTATTTATTGTAAATGTCGTAAGATCTTATACAGCTACCAAGGTTAGGGCTTTTTTTTTTTTTTGTTATTTAGATGCTCCCAAATGTCCTTAGGGTCTTATCACGGAGCACCGCGGGAGAGTATTTAACTAGAAGTTAACGCCTCCTTTCTTACCAATGTCGCTTATTGGGCTAGACCCGAACCTCGGACTTCTGGGTTATAAGCCAGAACTTTAACCACTGCGCCACGGCTGCTCAAAACTCTTTGCAACATTGTCATAAAGTTACGTTCTTCCTATTTTTTTTTAATCCTTTTTTTTTCAACCACAACCATGGTAGTATTTATAAAGATTAGCTCAAGTAAGCAATTATCACTTCTTTCAACTATTGAAAACATTCTTATGTGACTTATCATTTAACAAGTCAAACTCGTATACTCTATTGTTCTTCCTTGCTAAAAAACTTTTATTAGCGTACTTTTACTCAAAAGCCTTGTTTGATTTACAGTTTTTCAAACCTTTTGTCGTTTTCCTGCTCCTTAATTTTCTTTTTTGGTTTTAGAAATTTGCAAGATAAATAGTAGTTGTCTGCCTCTTGAAAGAGATTTTTTTTTTCTCTGCAACACATTTTTTATTGAACAGCCATTTAGTTTTTCAAGTTAGGGTATGCTATAGTATATCTTTAAATTAAATTTCGAGAAAATTGTACCAATTATTATTGCATCAATAATTTCATGCCGAAATTATTTTGCGGTACAAAAATACTAATTTGTTTGTTTTGTTATAAAAATATAAATCATTAATAACTATGTATTCATTTATTTGCTTTGCATTTAGTTATTATAGGCGACTTGGTATCACTGATTAAGTAGTGTTATGCACTATTTTTTCACAGTTAAATATAAAAACAAGTTTTTTTATTATATGTCGAAAACCATTGTATGGTGACATATAAAAAGTTTTTTTTTTTTTTATCAAATTACTGCCAGACTGTCCGTCTGGCAGTAATTTGATAAAAAAAAAAGTTTGTTTTAAATTAAACGTGAATAAATAATTTGTAAAAATTAATGATTGCGTTGTTTTGATTCTAATGCCCAACATCTTCCAACTTACCCAACATAGTTTCTGTAATATTAGATCCTTTTGAGAATAATGATTTTTTTAAATTTAGAAATAGAAAAGTAGAGGCAAATCTAATTTAGAAATAGAGGCGATCGAGACATTTTGTAAACACCATAGAGCAAACATTCTGTTACTACAAGTTTTAAACTTTATTTGAGATAAAAAAAAAAAAAAATATATATATATATATATATATATATATATATATGTTTTGTATATTATGCACGTTTGAACAAATATTCTAATGCTTTTCGTTTTCTTTTTTCGAAGGAGGAATAACGACTACCGGAATACTGGAATGATGTATAACATAATTGCTTGTGCTTCCAAGTAAAAATCTACTGAAAGCACCTAAACCACGTTGACCAATGATAAGGGCTTTTGAATTATATTTTTTTGCCACCTCACATATTTTTTGTCCAGGTGTATCAAAGCAGTCCTCCAAAACAACTTCATAACGAATTTGTTGTTCGTCGCAAAACTTTTTGTAAAAATCAAACACATGCTTTCCTCGTCGAATATATTCTTCAATTAGTTCATCATGATGCTTTGTTTTTGCAACTTGACCAGCCAGAAGACCCATTGCTGGAAGTTGCGGCATTTGGTTTACATGTACAAATATTATTGTATCGTTGTCTTTGTGATAGTTCTTCATGTACCAATCAAAAACGTGTTTACTTAATTCACCATCATCAACTGCAATACAATTTATTCTTTCAGAACCCATATTTAAAAAAACAAACTAAAAGAAACGGCTTTATACGTTTAAAATAAAATTCTTAAGACAACCTTTAGAACGTTTTTATTTTACAAAAAATCTGCCGTTTCGAAATATCGCAGCTAATGTTTATCTAATCAAAGCGTATAGTTTAAGACTATAAGAAGTATTCTGTTCACAGCGAGCAGTTTGTTTGAACGCGTGACGTATGAATAAATCATTGTTTATTTTGAATTCAGATTGTGTAAATTAGTACGAATATATTTATTTTTTCTCTTTGCAAAAGATTTTGCAAAAAATAAAACGCGAAGAAAATAAATTTTTTATGACTTGGGAAGATTAAAGATTTTATTTACTTAAACAGCATTGATTAAAAACTTTATTATATTTTGTTTTTAAAGCATATTTTAAAATATTATTACCATTATTTATGTTTATATATATATATATATATATATATATATATATATATATATATATATATATATATATATATATATATATATATATATATATATATATATACATATATATATATATATATATATATATATATATATATATATATATATATATATATATATATATATATATATATATATATATATATAAACCTAAAATGTAAATAATATTTTAAAATATTCTTTCCAATAATTGTAGCCTGGTAACAAATTAGCCCATAAGATATTAGAACCCCTCCCGCCCCAAACGTAAGAGCAACAATAAATATGACCATATAAAAATTAAACCCCCCTCAATTTGAGGGGGTCGCAAATTTTTATATGGTCTTAATTTTTGAAGGCTTAGAAATTATATTATGAAACCTTAAATTTCTCGATGAATATAAGTCTGGTTGAAAATCGTACAAAAAATATTTCGTCAACTTGTTGCTCTCACGTTTGGGTCAGGGGGCTAAAATTTTGGGTTTTTTTTGTTCCCAGGCTCCAACCATCGTATTTTTTTGCAAAACATCCTTATTTGACATAAGTGTAAACATATAATGTTTGGAGTTTGTTCCATGTCTGGAGATTAGATATATCGAAGACCAAAAAATGCTTCCGCCACCCCTGTATGTATATATATATATATATTATATATATATATATATATATATATATATATATATATATATATATATATATATATATATATATATATACATTTTTTTAGTTTGTTACAAACTTATAAAAAATATATATCTAAGCAAACATATTTCAAATTGATCAATTAATTATTGAATGACCTTAATTAATAATCATCCATCGAATATTACTAATTATTTATTAGTTATTGTTAGGTATCCAAGTAATGCTAGAATATATATCTATTTATCACACTACTCAGTTAAATGAAAACAACATCATAATAAGTTTTACATATACTTTGTTTGTTTTAATTTCTTCCATGGAACACATTTTTACTTTTTAACTATTTCTGTTAAGTACCTGTTTGATAATATTTACGAACTACAAACATGCAATCGAAATAGATAGTTGGCGCACAATAAAGACGTTGTTTTGTCCAATAATCAAACCTCATATTACAAAACGTTTAAAAAAGTTACTTAAAAGAGGAGGGGGCAGGGAAGGGGGACATAAATTTTTAGGGATTTTGTTCTCAGCCTCCAGTCAACGTATTTTACAAAGCAATACTAATTTAATTTAATGCTTTTCAAAAGATTGCGTTAAATGTGCTACAAACATGAGAGTAACGAGTTTATAATATAACTTTTTTACTATTCTTTACTCAATTTATTTTGATCAATAAATTTTAAATATCATAGAACATTTCATGTTCAAAAATTATGACCATAAAGACTTTGAAACACTCCCCTCCCCCCGTCATTTTTATGGGGTTACGACAGGCCAGATTGAGCACCGGCGAAGTTAGCCATTCGAAATTAAACGTCGAATAACAAATATTTGTTAAACTTCGGTACAAAGTTTAACAAACTACTATTCGCTAATTTTATAATCATGTTTACATAGAAAAAAATTAAAGTCAAAAATGTTAAAAAGATATTAGCTATATTTTACGTGAAAATTCTCAAATAAACGAAGTTGCTTGTTTAGTTAATGCATGGAAGTGCTAGAGGGTCTTTAGTAGTAGTGTTGTGCCTCGTTAATAAAAATTCTCATGTTTTTTATCTTGTTTAGTCCCAGTAATCACAAGCAGAAAAATTTCTGGTTTGCAGCAGTTTATTTACTTAAGTCTTTAAACACTCTGTTTATTTACATAATCTTTACGTTTGCGTCAAATTATAATCTAAGAAGGCGGTTTCAATAAAATCTAAGAAGGCGGTTTCAATAAAAATGTAGAGCTATTTATTAAGAAGCATTTTTCAAATTGATTCTAAAATTACATTATATTTCAAATTGTTATAAATAATTAAAACTTACATATATAAAATAATATCAAAATTATAAATGAAGAAAAAAAACCTAGCAAAAATAAAGGGTGAGTTTCTACTTGTCCGTTGTTCGAAGGGAAAAGAAAAGAGAAACAATAAATAGTCACGTGAGTTTAAGCAGTTTAAAAGCATCTAAAACATAACTAGGATGTTAACATGATTATTTTTCCGTAAACGCTAGTTTTACTCAGCGAGTATCGGACGTCCTAAGCCATTAACAGATGTCTGTTACACGTCTTAAACCGTCCAATGCCCAATGGAAACGTTTAAGAAGTTTAATAATTTCCCACTTAAATAAAAATTGATTATTTTTATTTTGTTTAAAGCAGTTAAGTTTAAATTTAGTTTTATTTTTTATTTAGTTTGTGCGTGTAAATATGTAATTTAGAGACCAGATTTAAGACTAATTCTCTATAATAGAACTGTAAAAAAGAAGTAAAGTAATTTTAATATAAACTTTTAAAGTAATTTTAACATAGACTTTTAAACGAACAAAAAAAGATTTAAGATTTTGAATCTGAGCTTTAAATTTAACTTTGTGCTTTTTAAACAACTATCAGCATAAGCATATCTTTTCTTCTTCTTTTTTTCTTAGACTTAACAATAAAGATAATATTCCATTAAAACTGATCGTCGTTTTTTAATAAAGTTTTGTAAATAACCCTATAAGCCTATTAAAGTCAACATTAAAAGCCTATCGAATTCAACATTATAAACCTATTAAATTCAACATTGAAAACCTATTGAATTCAACATTAAAAACCTATTGAATTCAACATTATAAACCTGTTGAATTCAATATTATAAACCTATTGAATTCAACATTGTAAACCTATTGAATTCATTATAACTATTTACGTATTTATTTAAACTCTAGCTGTACTAAACATATTTAAAGTTAAGAAGAAATTTTTGCATCTTATCTAAATAAACATATATATATTTGAAGTTTACATAACTTAAGAAGAAATTTTTGCACCTTATCTAAATAAAATAACATCTGAGTAAAATTAAATGTTAATATAACAATGGTATTCAAAATGTTATATTATGATGGGAGATATCTCTCACCATTTGTTGTTTTTTATGTTATCTGTATTTTAAATGAATAGAATATAGACTAACAGAATGTGCTTTTGCGGCACAGCAAGTGAATGGATGCAAGACTATTTGTTTTAAAACTGATTTTGAACTTGATGTTTTATTTTTTTTAGTGTTGGGCAACGAATAAATATTTTAATCGCGATTAATCGCATGATTTTTTGCGATTAATCGCGATTAATCGCAGAAATACGAAAAATTCAATAATAAAACCACAAGTAGTATATATATAGCGTAAATTTATTTTATCAAAGTTAAATTAACATAACTTTTGGTTTGTCAAAACTTTAAACAATTTTATCTATTTTTCCAACTTTACTTACTCATCTGCACCAAGCCAGTTACAAAGACAAACAAGGTAATTCACATTTTCAGATGATAAAGAAACTCTCTTCTTTTGTACAATATGACCAGCAAGAGAAAACAATCTTTCACATGGAACAGATGTTGCAGGTGTTGCCAAGTACTTCTGTGCAATTGAGGCCAGCCTGTTGTGTGAGCCTGCATGTTTGGACCACCACTGTAATGGACAGGCCTCTGTACTGATGGTGGGCTCTGCTTTGTACCGACGCACACCGTTTTCAATTGAGTCTTCCTCTTGTTCAGAATCAGACTCTGATGAAGCAACCAATAGAGCAAATTTTCTCTTTGATGGCTTTGATGTTGCTGCTTCCACAGGTTCATTTGCAATAACCCTCTGTTCCTTGAGTAAGTTAGTGATTGAGACCCACACCTCACCTCTCTCAACTCTGGGTATACACTTGAGGTCTTTGAATCTCGGGTCCAATGCGGTTGCAATCTTTAGATATGCAATGTTGGCATTTTCCTTGCGTGTTTCCAGATCTATTCTGAACATAGATTTGAATTTGACTACATAGGCCGGGTCATCATCTGAGCTCTCCATCACCCGAGAGAGATGGCATAAAGCAGGCAGAACCACAGAGCATGAAACGTACTTTTCTCCACCCAGAAGTTCAGTCACATACCTGCAAAACCAATTTCACTCAAATGTTTTGCATTCACTTATACACACAAAAAGTGTTCTCATGTTCATGCTTACGCACAAATACAGACACATCAATTCTCTCACATGCAATCAAACCAGTCAGTAAGAAATATATGATGTAAAATATACCTGCAGGGTTCTAGGAGCTTTTCCAACCTCTGCAATTTGTCCATTTCAGCTGGAGTTGGCATAGCAACTTTTGTGTTGTGTGTGTGGTGAGGACATCGCTCAGTGGCTGTTCGTTTCTGCGAACACTTTTTATCATGTCCAGAGTCGAGTTCCATCTGGTTGGAATGTCTTGTATAAGCGACTCCTTCTTTTGTCCAAGCTCAATTTGTTTTTTTTCTAATTCTGCAGCACTTGCTGGACTGTGTTTAAAATGGCCCACCACCTTTCTGCATTTAGCCAGAGCATTGTCAAACGCGCTGTTGTGCAAAGATACTGTGACAGAACGCTGAAGACTGTGAGCGACACAAGGGACGCGTTCAAAAG